CAGACACGAGTTCACTCTCAAATGGCTATGGCGACTTCAGCGCCCAAACATCTCACTGTTCACATACACTGGATCACCCTGGATATCCCACACGCATCACTCTAACACTCGAACACACACACGCACTCACTACTAACTACAGCTATGGCAGTTGTCGCTGCATCTACCCTATCGCTATGCTAACTCCCTCTCTCTAGCCCACTGCGTCCTCCGGGCTCATCYGCAGACCTCCTTGCACAATTCGTTGTGGCAGCGATTCCGCATGGCTTACGCAGGAATGAATGAATGGCAGGGCGCGGCCTCTTGATTTATACTTCAGAAACTCGTTGGTCTGCCCTTTGCCATCGGCCCTTGGTGCTCACAGTCCCCCTGTGGTACTTGCTGGACCGGACTGGGACTAACTGGACCTTCCRCTGACTGACTRTGGACTCACCGCTATCCTACCGACGTTGTACTGCTGTTGCACTGCGATTTAGTCCACCACTTGCCTCTCCACTTGACCACTTGCCCACTTGCCTACCTTCTAGAAGGTCTACAGCTAAGCTTCCGGAACTCACTAAGACTCCTACGCTATAGACCTACAGATCGAACCCCTGCTGCCTATGGACCTACGACAGGCCTACCAACTGCCTACGAATACACAGGTCACAAGTTCAATTCTCGGGGTCTACACAGATACTGTGCATGGGTAGGGTGAGGTCTAGGGATCGAACCCTGGGTACTGCATCTGCCACTGCTAAAAGGTGAAAACCGTTTCACTCCCGCCATCCTAATTTTGAGGTCCTCCGAGAAAATTTCAGTCCAAGGCGGGACCTTTACCTTTCTTGTCACGCTCATAGGCTCTGACTATGTCGGGAGAAGTCTCTAGAAGTTCTGCTTTCGTGAACCAGCGGTCGTCGTCCGGTTCCTGATAGGCAAACTGGACTTTATACTGTTTTTGGGGACGACCTCTACCTCCTTTCCTAAACACATCCTCTTCTACAATGCCCTCTATGTCATAGCTCCCATTCATATCCGGTGGGATCATGGATCTCCTGGAAGGGAATTGTTGACTAGTGACACATGGCAGCAGCTTTGAAGCATGAAACACAGGGTATGTGTAGAGGTGTGCTGGAACCAGCCACGGTCCTCTATATGCAGGCAGTAACTTCTGCGAGATGTTTTCTTCCGGTGCAAACTCTTTTGCCTTGACCCAGAC